TTATGTAGCATTGAATAATTCGTGTGTTTGTCTTAGTTCAGTTGGTTTATGGGTTTCATGCACTTATTTAGTATTGCAATTTTATATTTAATTGTATGAGTTTGTTATATTTTGATCATATACGTCTCAATTGTTCTAATTCTAATTTACATAATATAAAATTTTGTTTTACAATTTTAAATCTCTCGGAAGCCTGCGCAAAATGTGGACAAAACACGTAGTTTCTATTAAAGGAGGCTCACTTTAAGTATACTCTCTGTTTCATTATAATTACTGTTTAAGGTTTTTGCATACATATTAGAAGTTATTTAATTTTTTTTTTTTAAAACTAAATTTCATTTATATCTATCTAATATTCAACCAATGATAAAACGATTAGCAGAATAAAAAATTGTCAATTTTTTTTTAAATAATCAATTTGGCTTCGAAAGTTAAATATATCATATCATTTGAAACAAATTTGTTTCCTAAAAAAATAATTCTTATTAAACAGAGATATTATTTGTAGTCCCAAATCCACAAAATACATTAAATCCGATAAGCATTTTCAGGATGCTATTTATGAAAATCCTCTGTTTAAGAAAGTTTTTCATCAGGAAAACCTAAAAAGTGTTAAGGTACTAATTTATCAATCCTAATTAATGAGATAAACTATATAAACAAATAGAATATATGTACGTTTTGCAAATAGAAATACCTTTATCTCGTAGGCATGATTCAGTCGTTGATGTTGCTCTTCTTTTACTTTGTTGTACCGTTCAATGATACTTTTCATACTAATCATATTCGAAAGAAAAAAAGACAATATATAACAATGATATGATGTACATTATTATATAGTAAAATTGCTAATTTAACTCACCAGGAGTATGTAACTCAACAGTATGTGTGAAATTCGATATCAGTTTGATATGAATTAGATCAGTACAAGTGTTACAATTCTAGTACTTAATTATATTAAATTAGGGTTGAGTCCGCGCTTCGCGCGCATTTTATTTTATATTTTTATATGTTTTACATTTTTATATGTTTTTTTAAAAAATAATTTGTTTGATAATTTTCTTATAGTTTAATAGTTTTTTCTATATTTATATTGTACAATCCTTATTAGTGTTTGTATATAATAAAATTTTTTCTTAATTATGTTATTAATTTCTGTTAATTTTTTTTATTTCATGTACTTTTATATTTTGTCTGTCACTATTGTGTGATTTTTATTACAGTATTAAAATTATTTTTTTTTGTTTATGTTCTACACGTTGCGCAGTAATAATTTTTGATCATTTATTCTTACAAATTTTTGAAATTTAAACATCATATTTATCTATTTTTGTTAATTTTTTCTTCTTCTCCATTTTCATATTTTCATATTTTGATATCTTTATCTTCTGTTCTCTTTCTTTCTTTGTTTTCATGTTTTTCAAAATTCTTTTTCATCAGCTTTGTGTTCTTTTTTTTTTCCTTATTCCTCTTAATAATCTTTAATTTCTATTATTTTTCATCTTTTTAACTTCTATTTTTGTATTTTGATTTTTCTTCTTCCTTCTATTTTTCTTTATTTTTGCTTTTTTTTTTAATTATCGTCATTTTTAAACATTTTTTCCATTTAATAATTTATCATTTTTAAGAATATATATATATTTTTAATCCAGTTAGTATTACAATGTTTTTAATTATTAATATCTAATTATCACTTATTTTTTATTTATACTATAATTTTTTAAATTTAATTTAATTTATACTAAATATATTAATAACAAACATTGATATATTTATTAAATGCATACTTTAAATATACTTAAATGTTAAGTTTTATGAGTTTGCTGATGTGGATAGTCTAGATGGAGAGAAAACTCTTTCATTATATAATAGATTTGTTTGAGCACCTGCGAAAACAGTTCATACATGGAAATATAGAATAACTGGACTAATAATATAATAAGTACGAGTTTTGAATGTTATGATCTGACATAATATAACATGTTTAGCATAATCTTCTTGAAATAATTGATATAATCGATAGTAATACAATTGCTAATAATAACTAACTATAATGCAACATGGAATATATTGCTGAATTTACCCATCAATTATAGATAGACTTAAATAATCAAATTTCTTTGTGATGTGTATTTGAGGGGGGTTCGATGATTTATTCACTTCGGATTAAATGTTAAACATAAGAGGAATTAGTGAGAACATAAATGAATGACATATGGAAAATACACAAATAGTTTGTTTCCGTCATTTTCTTAAAAGAATGTTTGAAAAATACATCTTTTAAAACTGCGTTTGTTTTCAGGTCGAACATACAAATAAAATTCTTCGTCCGTATTGGTTTTACTGTAAATAAATAAATGTTGATTGATGAGTGTTTCATTCCATCACATATTGCATTTCTTTTTAAGATCAGTTTCAGTAAAATGCATACTCTTAATCTTATATTCATTTACTTACGTTAGTTACATAATTAACTTAAAATTGCATAGTATATTTTATATAATTAAAGAAAATACAAAATTGAATGCTTTTCGCTCTATATTATATGGAAGAAAACACAAAATAAATAATTTATCCAATAATACACGGGTCATAGACGTGATATTTAATTAGAAAATAAAGTAAAAATGTAAAAAGAGTACAAGATAAACAATTTAAATATAAACTGTTAACACCACTGAATGAAGAAGCAAAAGTCAAAAGTTTGTTCCATATATATGTTCCTACTCAAACGCATTTATAAACTTGTCGGAATCTATGTGGAAATAAAATCATTTGAGCTAACTGAGGGTACTCAAATCATATTTACCTTAACAAGTTTTACTGTGGTGGTCTGTATTCAAATCAATAAGCAACAAACTGTAGAGTTTACTAAGGTATATATAAGTCAGTCAAGTAAAATCTAAAGTTTAGAAAACATGGTTTATACCGAAAAAAATGAGAAGGAACAAATATCAAATACTCAGCTCTTCCTAATAAGACATACACTATAAGCCTACTGAGAAACTAATATGTAGAGATGAATGAATACATTAGTGGCAAATTTTGTTGACATACACTTCCTGGGATCAAGAAACCGTAACAAAGAGAAGTAAAGAATCTAACAAGCAAGGCAATTGAATGCAAAATCATTTCCTTGGCCTCTACTAAGAAAAGGGTTTATCATTTGATAAACTAACCTTGAATTGCTTGCGTAGTCGTAGAGCTTTCCGGTGCTAGAAAAGATGATAACACCAACCTCAGCATCACAAAGGATCGCTAACTCTTTAGCCTTCTTAAGTAAACCACTTCTTCTCTTTGAGAAAGTTACTTGTCGGCTTGTCGAATTATCGATCCTTCTTATAACTATTTTTCCTCTCCCCATCTAAACTGCATCAGAATTATCACGAAGTTAAGCATATCGTTAATGTCGAAAACGATAAAATCTAGATGATCTTGCTGATTCAAAGTACTTGACTTTTGATTAGATTTATACTTCTTCTACTTTCTTGGATTGAAATTTATATGTATACCACCAACTCGTGAAGATTTGACTTACTTGATTAGGGGTTTTTCCAAAAAAAGGAAATAAGACAGAGGAAGAGGAGAAGCTTCTTCGTTTTTGTTTTCTTCAATAGATATGTCTTTTGTGTTTTCTGTTTGTGTATATATGGCAAGAGAGCGGATGAAGGACAAAACCACTGCTGGTTTTATTACAATCAGTAGTTACTTTCGCGAGTATTGTAACCTTCCGTACTCGCTCCCGTATGCGCAAGTCTGATTTGGTAATACCTTTGACCTCGTAACTTATTTAGATCGCAACTGATATCGAATTTAACATGTGTCAGGAGAAGATTTTGGTATGCATATGAAGAGCGAGTAGAGTCAAAGCGTATAAACGAGAGCGTGAGCCTTAAATATCCTCGGACTCTTAGAAACAAACCCCGAATCATAGGGCGTTGAAACAAAGTGGTATTGATAGGAAGCAATAGATGATTGACACGTAGGTTCTTAAGAGATGCTTTTGTAAGTCTGAGGCGTATTTTGGGAATTTAGGAATTTTTTTCTGTAATTGAAAAAACTTTTATCTTTATTTGGCTTTTGACAGAGTTGGTGGTGTACTTGCACTGTTGTCCGATGAAGTCTTTTCCCCAATATTATTTCTTTTAAATTTTTAATTTGAGTTTTTATAGCATCATTTTTTCCTTATCTGTTTTGATCTTTTTGAGGTTTAAAAAGTCGGATAGCAGACATTTTTGAATTATTTATTCGTTGAATGTACTATGTTGTAGTAATATATATTATCTTCAGCTTGAATCATTTTCGGTCTTGGAATAAAAGAAACTAAGAATTTCAGATAAATGTGGCCATGTTTGATAAAAGAAAAACAAGTGGACAAATATATTTCTAAAATAGATAGGAAATTAATGAACCTGAAATTTTTTGTCTATTTGGGAGTTATGTGAAACAGTTAACAGAATTATCAACTATCTATTTTATTTTATTTTATAAAGTAAAATGATTCAAAATTAGTAACACACCAGATCGTAATACATATTAAGTAAATCAATAAGATTTTGACACATGTTAAATATGGACTGAATTTCAGTGGCTTTGAGATTTATTTTGACGGCGTTTCTATAGTTTCTAGCAGATTTCAGTCATAGATAGCAAGATACTTTTGCAATATGCAGCGATTTTGAAGAATTTACTTTGACCATTGAAATTGAGATCTTGAGAGATGAGGATCTCCATTTGCTAAACGCGGATTATACGAAAGCTTGCATCCAACACAGATTGGGTTAGATTGGGGTCTCGTTTTCAAAATCGAATCTCCCAGATTCAGATTTGATGGCATCGTGGCGATCCTTACTTCCAGAATACAGTATCTAATATGGATCATAAATTGGCTCTAGTGGATTGAAAGAAGATCCAAAGATCAAAGACGGATCGATGGCAGAGATAAAATACTAGATTTTCTTGGGTATCATTTATGTCCGGATTTTTCTAGAGATTTCGTATCTTGGGCTGGTTTCTTTCAGTAAAATGGCAATAAGATGCTTTGCTTAAGCGAATTACTTGCCCAAAAGATTACAGTTGTACTCGATTAAAGGTTTTAGGCAAAATACATAGTTAAATGCGATCTTCTTTGATTCGAATTAACAAGAGGTTTTAGGGGAAGTTTTTTTTATGGCGGCAGATTGATTGCAACGAGATTTCTTCGCGAAGTTCAGATCAAGGAAAAAGATTCTCATTTAACCACATCAGCGGAGTGATATATAAAGCAGAAGAGTGATGAGATTGTTCCTCATCAAACACTTTTCTCTTTTTCTTTTCATACTCACAGTTTATTCGAAACGGTCAGTGCAAATGTCTCCGAGCTCACAAATTGGGCATAACGGTACAGAGAAGAAGGTTGCAGGTCCCTTGAAGTAGATGAAGATCACGGTTCTAAAATTTGATAATATAAGTCTCATTGAGGGGTATTTTGCACACTCTGATTGGAAGGTGCATGAATCCTGAGATGCAAGACATGAAGGTGTGTTGTTGTACATGCTTCCTCAGATTTGGAAGGCAGAAGAGAGAGTGGCATGTGCGGATTCGGGACTTGGAAGGTTCCAATTCGATTTTGATAGAGAGGATGATGTCTAGGAAGTGATGAAAATAGAACAATTCCGTTTTGATTACTGGATATTGTCTCTTGTGCGGTGGAATCCGGTCATTGACCCAATTATCCCTCGATGATAATGTTCTGGGTTCGTGATAGTAAGAACTTTTAGGTTCAAACCCAATTACTCTAACTACTCATATCATTGTAGTATTTGAGGTATCAAACCAAATGGAGGTTTCTAGGCACTAGAAGTATGATGAATCAATCTCAATCCAAGTCTAATGAAACAAGTTAGTAACAAGTTGATCTAAAACATAAAACAAACAAGCAATGATGATAAACAAGATAAACAATTTAACATGACAAACAAGAGAAGCAAACAAAGGTGCTTTCAATGCTAATTTTAAATGCTAAGCAAACAATGAGAAACTTGCTAATCCTTAGTCTAGACTTCTAAATCAGATTAATTCATTCTCATGACAAAAATCTCTTTGTTAATTATCTAATCAAGACTAATTTTCATTAGTGAAAATATAATTAACAAGCATGATAATCAATGTTTAATATGACCAAATAGCCTCTTTATGCATCAGAACAAGAGCTAAGAAAGACTGAATCTTATACAGAAAGATAAAGCAAGCATCACATGATCTCAAATTTCAATCAACTTAGAACTCAGAGAAAGATCATTTTTTTCTCAAGACAACGATCACAATATTAATCAGCATTTCAAACCCAGTTTTCAATAGTGTAATAATGATCAAGATGCATTAATAAACAGTTCTAACATGTCATTTATGCTTAAAAAAACATTCTCATGGCGTTCAAACCATAAACCCTTAAGTTAGCTCATTCAGGCATTTCATCAAACACTTTGTGGATGGAGAAATGTCTTAGGTCTAGATCAGAGTCATGATTATCAAAGATCTAGCATTAAGAACAGCCAACTATGGAAAAGAAATGAGAATCTAGAACCTAAACATCATAAATTAAACATCTAAGCGCCCTAATTTACACACATAGAAGCCTAAAAGAAGACTACTCAATAATCATGATGAACACACTATTTCCTTTGCAAGAGATGATATCAATCATGATTAGAAGTAAAGATAAGATGATAAGAAACAACTTTAGATTGATTAAAGCCCAAGGATATTTCTTAACAAATTCGTTTTTTACTAAAGGGGAAAAGAAAATAAAAGAGGAATAAAAGATATCTCCAAAATTAGGTCTAAAACATATATATAGGAAATGGGCCAAACCGGGTCAGTCCAGGACAAACTAGGTCCTCACCCGGCCGTGTTGGGTCTTTGGTGCTGTGCCACGCCTTAACTCAAGTTTATCCAAGTCGTGGCACTCATGTCGTGGCAATGAAATCTGGGTTTAAAACATGATGAACATGCATTGCCACAGCTTGGAACCATCTCTTCTTGTCGTGGCCTTTGACTTGTGGCATTGTGCGAAGGTTTGTTGGGGAGCTTTCCACGACATGATCAAGTCGTGGCACTCATGTTGTGGTAGTGAAATCTGGGCTTGGAACATGAAGAACACTGTAGTGCCACTCAACTCAAGCCTATCCAAGTTGTGGCACTCAACCCATGGTAAGAGCCGAATGTTTGGGACATGTTTTGAAGTGTTGGCCACGAGGTGAATCAGGTTGTGGCCCTATGTCGTTTTGAGGTAGAAAAATTTTGAAAGTTGCCACGGGTTGTATCCAGGTCGTGGCACCCAAGTCGTGGCACACATGACATTTGTGCACCAACAACTCCAAATGTATTCAGATCCGAGAAGATATATGTGCACTTAAACTGGCATAACTTTTGACCTAATGATCCAAATAACTCTCCACAAACTCCACGAGAGAGGGGACTCAGTAAGCTCCAAATTCGGTGAAGGGTCTAACTCCATCCGGGTTCAGAAAGGCTTCCGGTACAGCGGTTTTTTGAGACTCATCGGATTACTCCGGAAATGGCTGTGAGACATGTTCATTTCCCGCTTGCGATATATCTCAGCTCACTGCTCCAAATCGAGTCATTCCAAGTGTTCTGAAATCATGACTCAATCCTCTTTATTCTTGATGAATACACAGGCTGAATCGGAACACAAAGGCTCCGTTCTGGGCGATCTTTGAAGCGTATTGGAAAGCTTGAATTTTTGGCCGAGAAACATGTACTGCAATACATGTTTTTGACCGAGAAACATGACCTGCGGTACACCAGATGGCTGATACACATTTTTAACCCATTTGTTCATATTTTTCCACATTTTCTTCAATGGTCTCCACTCTTTCACTCCTAAATGTGTCCAAAACACCTGATAAACACTCCAAAGATGCAAGACTCAATTTGACTTAATGCAAACTCCTAACAAAACTAAAACAAAGATAAAACACTAGGAATCTATCTAAAATGCATATTTAGGACTCTAAACATGAACTAAAATGCATACTAAACATGATAAATTATGCATATATCAACTGCCCCATACTTATCCTTTGTTTGTCCTCAAGCAAATAAGAACAAATAAGAGAGAGATCTTGAAGGTGGGAATACAAATTCCAAGTCATGCTCAATGTTCAAGTTCCTAGTTCTAAAATGCATCACAAGGAATATACTCCAAAAGAGTTAGCCATTTCCATCTCTGGATCATCAAGTCTGAGCCTTAACCTACACTGAACTTTTATATTCCTCAGTCCTTAAACATTCATTAATGGTTTTCATGTGAATCATGATGATGCATACTCAAACAAATAAACAAGCTTGGCTAAGGGTAAAGCTTTGAGACAAAGATGATCTCATTCATGCACATGTGGGTTCAAATAAGCACAAGGGATCTCTCAATGATTGATCAAATTTTGGCAAAATGCTAAAGGTAAAAAATAACTTGTGCATACAAGGGTAAGGACTTATCTACCCCAATGCTTAATATGCCTCTAACCCATGCCTCTAAAACCCCAAAGTATCACTCCTAAACTACCCTCTCTCAAGGCTTTTCATTGCCTTCTTAGCCCATTTTTTCTCTTCAC